GGCGATGAATTTGAAATTCCCATTTTATGAAGGTCTAATGCAAAATGAAGCTCTCCCATAAATTTTTAAAGTAATTAATTACTTTTGGTAAATTAATTATCTTCAAGAATGCAGTCTTCTGGGATTTGGCACCGTGTATATGTGGTGTTAACCGACGTNCTTCACTTTTACACGTATTATACGAAACAGTTCTCGGCCCTCAAGGAACTTTGCTTTCAAATCCATCCTTAGATTTAAGTTTCCTTAGTCTGTCATTATGAAGAATACTGTTTTCTGGCCAGTTACGCTATCTACTCGTATTCCAATGGATATTTGCAGGTAAGTATCACATTCTAGAAGACATTCTGAGGTCCTCGGAATTTTTAACCTTATAGATTAGGCGTACGTTTGAAATTTACACGATTGATAACCTTCATGTCTTGTCTTCAGCGACTTGTGGTCAGTATACCCAAATTCAAAGTATGCTGACAGCGCAGTTTTACGGTTTTATATAAGAAATTTGATCCTATTATGCAGTTTCGTAGGATTATTAATTATTTACAAAATGGAATTAAAATTCTGGTCTACAGCCAGCTCATTCTTCTTGAAGCTCTCAGAAACCTAATTCTTGCAGTAGGGGGGCGATTCGTTTTACTATTATCATTGCAACAATATGAATAGAATTCCATGTCCAGCTGACTGAATTTGTAAGGCTTTCCTTGAAAAGCTGATAATCACACAGTGAGTCAAGATATCCGCATTAACAAGGGTCCTGAAGCAGTTAAATACAACCTATTTCATAGCCCCTCGTTAACTAAGACTCATTTTAATATTAACCTTGCATCTGAACATAGGTCTCCAAAATATCTCCCCGTAATGTTTTCCTACAGAAATTAGTCACACATTTCTCATTTCCCCGAGTCCCTATAAGTGCTAAGACCGCCTCTGTGGTCCAGTAGTCAGAGTTATTGCCTACAGATCCAAAGGTCCGGGTTCGATTCCCGGCGCTACCAGATTTTCTGAGAATTAGTGGGACTGGAACGGGGTCCACTCAGCCTCGTGAAGATAATTGAGGAGCTACTTGAATGGAAAGGTAGCGGCTCCGGTCTAGAAAAGTGAAATTAGCGGCCGTGGGGATTTGTTATGCTGACCACGCGACACCCTCTATCCGCTAAATTTGTCATTAATTTCGCCGACAAGCGGCGGTCGCTCGGTAGGTATAGTTCGCTTGCGGAATAAAGCCACGGAATTTTTCTTCTATAAGTGCTAATGTCCCGCCCATCATGTCCTCCATTTTGTTTAACCGTCATTAAGTGAAGGGTACTAACTGTAAATTTCTTTTTCATGAACGTTTCTCTGTTCTTCCTCGCGTCCACTTTGTAGGATCCAAACATTCTTTGTGAACCCTCTGTTCTCAAGCTTCCTCAGCCTTATTCTTATAGAAACCTGTTGTTATTAACCTGCAAATCCCGATTGATTAAAAGAACGAGATAACACGTTCGGACTTGGCATTCTGTTTGGCAATGTGTTCTTGTGTCCCGTTACCAGTGTCAGTGCAGAATATTGTCTGCCCTCTTCACCAAAACCGATGTTGTGGCAGTTGCAGGCACCTCCTAAAACCCATGCTGATGATGTCTGCTCGTGTCTAAATGGCCATATTCAAGGAACTTCCATCAAACATAATTCTGTGTGCATTCCTTATTTCTCTCATCTCACTGTAGATTCTAATATTCTCGTTTGTACCACTTCAACAAGAATCCCATTAAAGTGATCTGTATAATTCACGAAGGTTCACGCGGTAGCATAGTTGGTTGAGGCACTATGCTACAAGCCGTAAGGTCGCGGGTTCAAGCCCCGATGAGGTCACTGGATTTTTTATCAATTGACCTAATCCTTCCAGCCACAGTATGGCCGTGGGGTCGACTCAGCCTCTAACAGAAATGAGTACCAGGAATATTGTTGGGGCTTAACCGCGGCCGGCGCGTAGGGCTGACAACCTTGCCGCCATCTATGGGCCGATTGTCTTGAAAATGTGGGAAGCTCAATATCTCACAACCCTATGGGCCTCCACGGCCTATTACAGGGATACCTTTACTTTTTATAATTCACGAAACTCCTGTCTATGTAATACATTACCTGTCCCTTTTACACCAAACTTGTTATGTTCAAACGATCTCCTGAGCTCTTTATTTTCTAGCATTTGTAGTTAGTGTTATTTCATGAAAGCAAGAAATTTGTTTTCATTACAATACACTTGTAGTTGTAATTGTGCTTGTTGTAGTTGTAAATCGTACTTGCATCGTATTCATTTTGTGAAGTGTGTCCTTATTGCTTTAGAATGATCAAGTCAAGGAGGATGAGGTGGGCAGGGCATGTAGCACGAATGGGGCAGAAGAGGAATGCATACAGGATGTTGGTGGGAAAGCCTGAAGGAACTCTTTCCTTCAGGCTTCCACTTGGAAGACCAAGGCGTAGGTGGGCGAACAGTATTCAAATGGATGTTAGAGAGATAGGATGGGATGGTATGGATTGGATTGATCTGGCTCGGAATAGGGACCAGTGGAAGACACGGTAATGAACCTTCGGTTTCCATAAAATGGTGGGAAATTCTTGAGTGGCTGCACAATTAGCGGCTTCTCAAGAAGGGTTCAGCTCCATGAGTAAGTTAGTAGGTCTTTATTGCTTCTGTAGTTTTGTGTGCTGTCTTTGGTTTGAGCATGGTGTGTTATTTTGTGTGATGTGTGTTATTTGTATGTTGTGTCTTATCGTAGTATCACTGGCCATTTGCAGTTGAAATAAAATATCAATAAATAGAAAAACTATTTCTTCGGCCTTCAAATGCAATGGTTTGGAAAAATATGTCTCAGGAATAACTGTTTCGAAGTGAATAATAAAAAGACAATATCTGATCATTCCATATTTTTTCGTATATTCCTCTACCGTTAGACATGGTCTGCCAGTTCTTATAAGACACAGGCCTATATGGGAGGATCAGTCCCAAGCAGGGTTCCCACTTCATGGTGATAGTGTATATAGCTCAGTCATGCTTCAAATAACTGTTAGACTGAGAATTGCTTAACGAATGGATTAGGGTTACACATGTGCTTTAGAACTCTAATGTCGTTACATTCTGAGACTGGTACTGACAGTCGGTAGTAACACCATCCCACTGAATCTCCTTTATTTTTCGTGTAAGTTTGCATGACCAACATGACAGCTTCACCTTGTATTTGAACAGCACACAATCACAGCTTTTGTTATCCCTCTCTTCCGAATGTACCTGAAATTTGTTGAAACGTGTTATAGAAATCGCAGGCCAGTATGTAGCCTTATGTTCAGATTCAACACGAGTGGAGAAGAGTGGGCATAGAAGTAGTCCATAAAAACTTCCATCCCTCTAGCGGATGTTACGTCACACTAACTCAACTGGTAAAGACCTCATAGATACCGACATCGCGTGGATTCACTTTCAGTATTCGCGCTGAAGCACTCAGAACGTGGGACCTGGGTAGAGTCCATTATTTTGACTTAGATTTCATGTCAGTTTTTCAGTTTCTTTTGGCGATTTTTGAAACGATGTCTTGTATGCTTAATGCATAATTCATCTCGGTTATAATTGTCTTCTTTATGGAAACCTAAGCCTTATATAACGCGATTAATGGGCTGTGCAGAGTGGCAAATTGTCTGGCTAGCAATGTTTTTGCAACCGGTTGAAATGCCGGGCAGTTTATTCTTATGCGTGTTTCCCTAGTCCCTTCAGCCATATTCCTGAACATGGTCTCAAAACAGACGAAGATCTTTCTCACAGTGTTTCTGATGCATTGTTATTCGTCATATCTTATTCGACATAGTTAAACAAGGTCTTGTGAAAGTCACATCGAAACTACTTTGAACGTTGTATTCTAACTACTACACCAGTAGATCATGGGGCTCTGCATTCGATTCCTGCTGCTGTCGCTGGTATCGATTGTAAAATCAACGAATATGTCATTATAACGTGACATGATATGTGACAAAGACTTCTGAAATGTTGCCATAGACAATGGGAAATGCCAATATATATGCAATACATGCTTACATACTTCCGTGCAACTTCACAGATTGTGATGTTGATCCATGCTCTCATGTAGATTCACATGTTTCGGCCACACAGGATCATCATCAAGTTCATATGATTTTCGTAAATTTCTTTACTGTACAGTAATACTACAGACATGACGTTACACATAAACGTGGTACGATGTATTGCAAATAACGGAATAAGCAGTTTTAGAAATAGACGAAAAGATGCGAAGCCTTCATGGCAAAAATGCAGATCTCTGGAAACTCTGGTATGAGTGTCCAATTCTGGAATAAGTAGCCGTGGTGAGGGCCATCGGGGTCCCTGTCGACTGCCCTGATTAACAATCTGTGCTCCCAAACATTTCAAACGGCGTACGTGTTGCATGGAAAATGGAGGGCCAGGACCTTTATGCCCCTGTTTCGCTATCACCCGCCCACCATTTCCCCTTCACTGCGATATATCCGCCGCCGCCATCAATGGACTTGCCCTCTTTTCCCCTCCCAACGCCGGCCCCCACCATTTCCACCCACACAATATCATGAATTAACCCCTTCCTTTTCAATTGAGTACAATAATCTGTCATATCTCAATTGCTAATGAAAGAATCCTATAAATCTAGTTTCGAATCTCAAATAATATGCAGAAGGGGTTGAATATACGGAAGGGTGCCAATATGGCCATATAATATGTATTACGTATACCATGTGGGTTCGCAGGGACAGGAAAATCTAGAAAAGCGAAGGCGGTTTTCAGTTTTACCGAGCAGAGAACGATTTCTGGGCGGAGCCAAATTTTGTCTGAAAACTGCTCTTTCCTTCTGACAGCAGCCTCGGCTGCCATGAATGAACAGTAATGGCGGCACGAGGGGGAAGGGCGATGGGAAAGCGCGGTGAGGGAGGGGAACGACCAAGTCGAGGTCTCAGTGGAGAGCGCATGCGCAAACCGCTCCCTGTACCAGGGCTTGCTCTCTCTGCTTGCAGAAAGATAGCCAAGGTTTTCCAAACTGGAAAGTGGTTGACGTCCGTATATGTTTCGTTATTACACATGAGTATCTGTTAATGTTCTGTTATGTTGGAAGTGCAGTGGCTGTCGCGAGTGTGAGAAGAGAGACCAGTGTTTGTGTTGTGTGAATTGTTCAGGATCAACGGCTGGCTCTTTTAGGAATGAAACTCTTGTGACTTGGCTTGGGGTTTTGGGGAGCGAGAGAGAGAAATGCTGCTCTTCTCTGCTGTTCAGTGCCTCCTACACTCGAACTAGCTTCTAGCGACGGATCATGGCGGCCGTATGGCCTCACCAGCAGTACAGTGCTGAGTTCGTCGTATACTTGAATTTAGTGAATCTGTGAGCATCGTTTGATGTATAAGACTTCTCCGTTGCATTCAGTGGAGTGTTTATTGTTATCAGCCCCTTTCCGTATTGTTGACGATCATACTATTTGTAAATTGTATGGTGCATAGGAAGTGGTTTACGTGAGTTTCTCATGCTTTACACACATACAGAGAAGGATAAACTCATATTCGTCAGTATCCTTGAAGATAGTGAGTGTTCGTTTGGGTGCTGCTGTTTTTACAGATCTCTATTTAAAACTTCGAGATCCCCATAATATTTCTCTTTTAGTTATTTTTGGGCGGTGTTCCACGGTTTATTTTTGTGATTGAAGAAAGGTGCACGCATCTTGGTGTTTTAACATTAAAACAGAAACGAAAGTTCTTACTAGTGGGTACAGTAAAATTACAAAGGACAGTCATAAAAGGAAAGCGGCTCGTGGATTGAGTGCCGTTCGTGTTTTCAGAGTTTCGTTCTTGAAGAGAGGAACTTTTATCAGCCTGCTTGCCCCCACAGAACGCCAATAAATAAAAGTAAGTAAAGTGTATCATCTGATGTAGCTTTATGTATGTTTAGTGCATAACATTGCGGAGTATTGATTGTTTGATTAATTGTACTGTATCACTTGTGACATGCTTCGTCAATGAAAATGGGAATTTAGGTCACATGGATTGTGAAAGTTGCAACGAGCCCATTCATTCATTCTACCGCCTGTTCATTCAGGTACACGTTATCGTATCGTATCGTTTCGATTTATGTTTGAAACGGTAAGGACTAAGTTGTTTATTTCTGTCCACTTTTTATTGAACAGCAGAATATGTTGAGGATATGTGATGAAATGAATGCCATGGCCGGCAACATGGCTTCCCTTACCACTTGAATAATACACAAACTATCTTGTGTTGAGTCTACTAATACAGTTACAGTGGGCATCATGTGGTATTTCATACTTTCAGAAATACATAACTACCGTTAAGAGTTTTCTGTAGCTTGTGAAAATGATTTCTTTTGTGAAGGAACGGAAAAGTTTAATATTATGTGGATTAGATTGCCCCATAAAGTGCTGAGGCACCTACTTTTGAGCCAGTGGTAAAATTTGCCTTAAAATTGTTTTATAAGCCGTAAACAAAATGACATCATTAGTGGCATTGTGAATAGCATGACAGAAGCGTGTTGTATTTATCTCGGATTGCTCACAGTTTGAATGAGGACTGAAACACCAGTATGTCTCTCAGGTCAACATTCTCCGCTCCGATAGTAAGGATCATTTTGTCCATGTGCCAAGAACGAAACGACTTGGCTTGCAGTATGAGCTCCACACTCCCAAGGCTTCTAGAGGCCAATGTTACACGATGCGAATAACATACCACTCGAGTTGTATTGCACTTTTTGAGGTATATTTTTAACTGCCATTGACTGTGATAGTTGTCACGGCTCTATTCATATCTCTCGGCCGAGATTTCACTCCGAAATTCGGATTATAGATGTTGTTTACCCAGAGTGGGCTGATACAATTTGATTACTTTGTTTTCGCTGTGCATAGAATGTGTAATTACATTTAGTGTTCAGCGTTAATGTGTATAATTGGAAACAGGGCACTGTTGCGGTGCTCGCAAACAGTAAGAAATTTGTGACATTTCTGTGCATATAGGCCCGAAGGCTGTACACAATACAGCTTCACTCTGAGGTCACTCCAGTACATCTTTGAACAACTGTAAAGCCAGCATATGTGTTCCGTACCTGTTGACCAACCCCAAGCCCCTTGCTACGTTATAAAACATACAATCAGTAGCCTTACTTGTGTCGAAATGCCCTCGTGAGAAATGTGAACAGTAAAAAAATTACCCCGGCACAAAATTCAGGATGTTATAGTGCCCGGCAGAAAAAAAAATGTATTCACAACCCTAAACCTTCCAGCCGCACTATGGCCCTGGGGTTGCTTCAGTCTCTTAACAGAAATGAGTACCAGGAATATTCCTGGGGGGTAAAGAGCGGCCGGCGCGAAAGGCTGACAACCTTACCGCCATCTGTGAGACAATTGTCTAGATAATGTGGGAACCTCAACATCTCACAACCCTATGGGCCTCCACGGCCTGGTAAGGGGATACATTTACTTTTACTTTTTACTTACAACCCTAAATAAATTTAGGACGAAAAGAACTGGATGAAATCGGTGCTAGGTTTGAACAGTACACATCGAAATCCTGTGGATGCCTTGCAGAAGAGACAGGGTTTATAATTTCCGGTTTCAGGTTGCGAGTTTCCTCGAATTCTGGTAAGAGATACAAGGAATGCCTGAGTAATAGCAGGGTCATTTCCGGAATTTGCTCTGGTCTTGGTTGGTTTTCTGATTTCGAACGCGTGCAGTGCTAGATGATTGCATAAGTAGCCTGTTCCTCTCCCGTCCGAGTTTTTTGGGCCCCCTCAGGCGATCTCCCAATATTGTTGTCTTCTGGATTCTCTGAGAATTGAGGCGGCAGGTTTTCCGTAACGTTGGTACATATTTACCAAATAACACGGGGGGCATATCCCAGAAGACATTTATTCTCGGTGGCACTGCCATGAGAACAACAGAACTGGAACGATTTATGTTACAAAGTTTTGCAACATTTGACTTTACAGAACTATTAGGCTTATTTTGGACTCTATCCATCGTCCGGTATGTAGGAGACAAAAAATCACAACGTTTCGGAGACGAGCTGTCTCCGTACTCAGGTGGATGGGGCAGGATAAACCTACTCAGTTGGGCCCGTTAGAAAGAGCTATTCTCAAATCACTGGTCTAGTTTATCCTGCCCATCAACCTGAGGACGGAGACAGATCCAGTCTCCGAAACGTCGTTTTTTTGTCTCCTATATACCGGACGATGGATAGAGTCCAAAATAAGCCAAGTAGTTCTGTACAGCATACGGCATTGTCAGAATCCTTTCAAGTCTAACATTTGACTTGGTTCATCCTGGTTTGTCACACCAGTAACAGTAAAACAAAGTCCACGCCATAGCTCAAGCGGTTAGTCGCTGGCTTCCCATCGCGGCGGCCCGGGTTCGATCCCGGGTCTGGTCAAGTGGGATTTGTGGTGGACAGTGGCGCTGGGGCAGGTTTTCTCCGAGTACTTCGGTTTCCCCTGCCAATCTTCATTCCACCAATTGCTCCACAATCACCCTCACCTATCATCTGGGGCTGGTACAATAGACCAGAAGTGGCCGCAGTACAAGGGACCTAGTCCCACCCCACTAGCAATAAAAACACTATAACAACACAGCACGGCCCAGACTAAAGATTCCTATTCCTTCAAACAACGGAACCACGGCGCGGTATACACTCGTCTTCCTTTAAAGAGAGGCAGTATAAAGGACATGAACCGAATTGGTTCTAGATTTTAACAACGTTTTTAAACTATACATGTAAATGGACTAATTATAATAATCTGTGAATTTTCTAATAAATTAATGCATTTCGCTGTAATTGTTAAAGGCTAGTAGTATTTTATATTCATGACATTGTAATAGTAGTTTCCGTGTGTATTGATATGCCCTTCTGAAGATGGTCGCTCCGGCCGAAACATGTATAGAATGAAAGATAAAAAAAATTATCAATCTCACTGGGCGGCGTTAATAATCCTTTTGCAACATTTATATGCGTACCTGTTTTGAAATAGCCATCCAATGATAAGTAAAACTATTGAAAATCTAGTTGTCTCTTGATTGTTTCGCGTTGTTCTGGCCGTGCTCTATAGTATGTTTATGTACGTTTGATCACTGTGATAGTCTTTTTTTTATATATTTTTCAAGATAAACATCGTCGGTTATGGCATGAACGTGAAACTAGGGCCCATGTTGTTGCTTCCTGTCTTGATTCCATTGGTTTCAGAATTTTAATTATTTTGTTAAAATGGGACCAACATTTTATATAGGCCTCTTTAGGCCGGTAGGCCATATTTCTTTTTCCGACGAATATATTTTTTTTTTGCGATCTTTAAAGTCCGTAACACGACGGCTTTCGGATATTTCGGATCTTTATGGAAATTCCCGAACGAAACGACGTGGTTTGATGACGTTTGTCGTAGAGAATGTACAAGTTGATCTCATTAGAAGTGGCTGTAAGGGCCGTGCCATTCTCAAGTTGTTTGACCCCGTATTCTCCTCTTAAACCCATCAGCAGTCCATGTTATTGTATTTATGGTGGACGAAATTGAATTGGACAGCGATATTTTGTTTTTCTCTTTCACTTGTTCTGATATTTCATGTGTAAACCGTCCATTTCCATCTCTCAAATCGCGACTTTGGCCCTCAGCTCCCTAGTCCCACTTGAGCAGATGTAGATAAGGGACGGTTTCTTGCCTTGAACTCCGAAATGTACTTGACAGTTAACTCTTTGGTACAGACTGCTAGTTAAGAATTTGACAGTGTTTTTATGCTAGTGGTGTGGGACTAAGTCCCTTGTACTGCGGCCACTTCTGGCCTATTGTACCAGCCCCAGATGATAGGTGAGGGTGATTGTGGAGCAGTTTGTGGAATGAAGATTGGCAAGGAAAACCGAAGTACTCGGAGAAAACCTGCCCCAGCGCCACTTTGTCCACCACAAATCCCACTTGACCAGACCCGGGATCGAATCCGGGCCGCCGGGTGGGAAGCCAGCGACTAACCGCTTGAGCTATGGCGCAGCCAATTTGACAGTTACTGTCCTAGAGAATGTATTTTTGTGCAGGATTTCTGGTGTATCCTTTTTAAGTATACTTCGAAGAGGAAAAAAAAAAGCATTTCCGAGAGAGTATGCATATTTCAGACAATGTATGCAATATGTTGAATGCGACTAAATCCTGTAACAACCCAACAAGTTAAATACAGTGCGTACAATCAAGTGCGCGCCGCGGCTGCAATTTGCCGTGAGTCATACCACCGCAGAACGGATGCAGTCGCGGGGAGGAGTTGCAACTCCTCCCGCGACTGCATCCGTTCTGCGGTGGTATGACTCACGGCAAATTGCAGCCGCGGCGCGCACTTGATTGTACGCACTGTATAAACATACAACAAAGAACAAGTAAGTGTGAATATATAATTGCTCACTCCGAAAAGGCAGGATACTTGAAGTAAGCTTATAAATTCGAGGAAACTTCCTTTGCCAACTCTGATTTGATGCTACAAGCCCGTTCTGATGTTTCGAACTTTTCAAACTGATCATACCGTCTACTTCTGAGTCGTCCTACTTATCTCTCAACTTCAGAATTACAGAAATATGCTAATTATGATAGTTTAGTATCGTGTAAGCCGATCACAATGACCGCTCGAACACTGGGATCGTGATTTCGAATCCTACCCATAGCATGAATGTCTGTTTATTCTTTGTGTTAGGTAGCGGCGTTGCAACGGGCTGATCCCCCATCCTGCGGACTGTCTTAGATTAAGAAACTGAAGTGAAACGAAGCGTTTCACGGATGCGCTGATCTCCAAGTGGGAGTAACAGGAATACAAGAAGAATCGTGTAATCTATTTTCATGCGGTTTCCAATTTAACTTTATATTCCGTTACCTGTTA